CAATTAATGTGATGATTAATAGATAATTGCACTTTTTGACTCTGAATCAGCTACCCTGTTTTCTAAAATTATATTTACAATTAATCAGTTAAACTAACTTCTTCATTTTAACAGGTTAAAATAGTAAGTTGTGAATTAAAACTCACCTTTTGCACTATGGAGTGACAGCATATCTTTAATAAATGTGGCCCATGTTATTTCCTTGCCAGCAGAGTTGTAAAGTAACAAAGTACAAATACTTTATTACTGTACTTAAGTAGAATTTTTGGGTATGTGTACTTTACTTGAGTAATTCAAATTTCAGCGTACTTTTTACTTTTACTCATTACATTTTTACACAATTATCTGTACTTTCTACTCACTACATTTTTTTTAAAAGGTAAGAAGTAGAAAGTCGTTACTCCTATTTTATTTCGAGTTGTTAATACTTAAAAAATACCATCCTGATAAATTGTGTCTCCTGGATAGAGTGAATTTAATTGTAGTTGGATGAGAAGTATAAATATGTACCATTCTGACACCCTATTAGTTTGTACACAACCCATCACAGCTGCACGCCGTTAGAAAAAAATATTTTTTTGAGAAGTCACCTCCCAATAAATGTCATTTTGGAAAATCTAACTGCTCACTTTTACTCAGTACTTTTACTTTGACTTTTACTCAAGTAATATTTTTAGAGAAGACTAACTTTTACCCAAGTATTTTTATGATAAGATACTTGTACTTTTACTCAAGTATCACTTTGAGGTATTTTATACAACACTGCCTTCCGGTGCTTACTTCACTGCTTTTAAGGGACAGACTGACTGAAACATCATCACGTGACACTAAAAGATATTAATTGGTGACAGTTTTTCTGACGGTATAATTGCACATGATACGATTTTGTCCAACCCTAATGTTTATACCCAATGACACATGCAGAATACCATTATGCTGGGAGGAAGTGCCACTTCCACTGGAGCATCCGCCACAGTCCAGCCTGCAGCATCAGTAACTCAAAGGATGGGGTCCCTCGGGGCCAAGGGGACACCTGTCACTCCGACTGGAATCACACCTGTAAGATAGCAGAGCTAACCTAGATTACTTTAAATTGTAAATAAAAAATAGTATTAAATTACACAATTGCCTAATTTTTGTTTATTTATGTTTTCTCTTTTTTTAAGGAAACACTGGAGAATGTAAAAAAGTGTAAAAACTTTTTATCTACACTTATCAAGCTAGCATCAAGTGGTAAACAATCATCTGAGACTACGGCAAATGTCAAGCAGCTGGTCAAGAGCCTGCTGGTATTTTTCTTTCATTATTGTTTTCTATATCCTAAGTTTGCTTAGGCTATTTTTGTTTTAATCCATCTTCTTTTTTTTAATTATAACAGGAAGCAAAGATAGAACCTGAGGACTTCACCAGTAGGTTGTATCAGGAGTTAAACTCTTCACCTCAGCCATACCTTGTTCTTTTTCTTAAGGTAAGGTAAATGACTCACCAAAAGTTAAATATAAATGGGAAAATAAGGCCTTATTACATTTAAAGTCAGCATTTTGAAGTTTAATTACATAACTACAAACGTGCAGTAAAAATGACAATTATGTCAAACTCATTGTATATTATATATTTTTGTTTAAAAGTTGGCAATGTGATGATTTCATTAAACTGTAAACCTTGTGACTTTACAAACATATTTATAAATTTATAATTTTGACTTGCTGAGATTTTGGAAACCTTGTTATACAAACAAATACTTTTAAAAATCCATAGGTATTATATATTTACTGATTTATAGGACAGCTTATGATGGTTGCGCTGAAGTGTGGGCAGGTTGTTCCAGAAATAGATTGTGCATAAATTGTGAAACTTCTGGTATGAACATCAGGAATTTCTGCAAACAAACTTTCATACAAATATTATAAACCTACAGAAAACATTAATAGTATAGTAATCAAATATTAATAGTTTTGCAGAATCATTGTTTGTGTCTAGTGAACAGTATAATGACTATATAATAATCTAGCTAATTCTCATCAATCCTAACTTCATTTTTTATTTTAATACAAAAAAAAATCTTAAAGATGTTGTTTCAAAACAGTTTCTCTTTTTGATCTTTGAACAGATCTTTGAAAAAGACCAGCATGTGTTTATTACCAGAGAATGACAAATAAATTATGACACAGTTTTAAATAAAAGATTATTTAACAATTAAAACTCCACAAACAAAAATGAAGCAATATGTTAACAGACATCTTGTTTATCTTCATATAATCATTAAAAAATAAAAGTAAAAACCTGAATGCTGGACTTGGTTCTTTCTCTGTGTTTTTCTGGTGTTGGTGCTTTGCATGGGTCAACCAGTAACAAGCAGGTCAGCTTAAAAAGGGAAAAATGGGGCATACAGACTAAATTATTGATGTTGTGAAGACAATGTGCTCATTAGACTACATACACAAGCACAGTGTGGAGTCTTCAGGTTGCATCAGTAACTAGCATCGCTGAATAACAAAAGACTACTTTAATACTTTATTTAGCTGATTGCAGGCCAGTTAAAGTGTGAGAACTGAGATATAATAGAATTATTTACAGTTAAGATTTTCAAAAAAAGGAGCTGCTGACTGGATTTATAGGTACATAAATACTTTTTTTTAATGTTTTATGTCACACTCTGACCCTGTGCCTTACCACAGTGTGAAAGACTCATTGATAGTTTAACTTTCTGAATAGTTTTTACTGGTGCCAGAAAATGTGAAAGGCTTGTTATGAAGCAAGCCAATGTGTTCTTAATGAGGGAAAACAAAATATGCAATGTTTAGTCACTGCCTAATAAACCAGTGGCATGTAGAAATAAAACCTGTTTGTATAAGCCAAATAAACTGTTGCACAACACTGTGGAGAAGATAATTTATGTCCAGGTCCAGAATAAAGCTAAAGTAAAATGAACTCATTGTTATTGTCAGTAGCTAATATTACTAGCTTTTTTTTTTAACAATAAAGAAATCATTGACTTTATCGCTCTGTTTCCTCTTGCCGCTTGTAGAGAAGTCTCCCAGCACTGCGTCAGATGACTCCAGACCCGGAGGCCTTCATCCAGGAAAGCCAGCTGCCTCAGCCCACTACCACAACCTCCTCTGCCCTCAGCGCTGTGGTACTACGACCTCCCCTCTCCTCCGTTGTCGCCACAACCACAGGCTCTGCCACAATCAAAACTGCAGCTATCAGCCTCTCGCAGACTCCCAATAGTAAACATGGACTGGTAAAGTTGCTGCTACTGTACCATCCATTACCATTTTAGATTACATGATTGGGTAGATGTGCAAGCACTGCTTTTGGGAGTTTTTACTTTAACTAGTGTGTGTGTGTGTGTGTGTGTGTGTGTGTGTGTGTG